AAGATCCAATACAATTGGTTCCAGTGGCGCTGCAGGAGTTGGCAGAATAATACAACAAAGGCAAGATCCAATACAATTGGTTCCAGTGGCGCTGCAGGAGTTGGCAGAATAATACGAACTGCCTCCGGGACTCTGACTCTGGATTTTGCCTCGAGGTTAACTCCTGAAGCCTTTTCCATCAGTGGATATAGTCACAAGGCAGTGGAAGTTTGAAATCGGAGTTTTCCTTCTCCTAGATGGACTGCCTTCCAAGGCTGATGAGCCCCACCTACGTGGCCTGCTTCCTAAGAGTGTGGAAGTATGATCCGACCCCTAAAACCTTCCTGACCCCCAGGTGTATGCAATGCTATTTGCCTTTCCTATTTACCAGATTAGGGTAAAAAATAGAATCAGAAAATTTCATTTAGTACTTCTGCTCATTTAAAGCCAAATCTCCGCCCTCTTAGACCATGTGGTCGGGGAGAGCAAAGGTCAGCCTAGAAAAATATACCTCCCCCCCCAAAAAAAATGTGTTCCCAAGAGAGCTCACCTTCTGCCTCAGCTTCCTTCTCAGGGAAAGGACTTAGAACTATAGCTCACACTCATTTAAAGCCAAACCCCCGTCCTCTTAGACCATGCGGTTAGGGAGAGCAAAGGTCTGCCTAGAAAAATATACTCCCCCCCCCCCAAAAAAAAGATGTGCTCCCAAAAGAGCTCACCTTCTGCCTTAGCTTCCTACTCAGGGAAAGGCTCTAAGCACAATGCAAATTAAAAACCAGAAATGCTTAAATATTCTCAATGGGCAGAAAAATTAATAGGGCACTATCTTGCTGGAACATTAATCAAATCCATCACCAGGCAAGGCCCCTTACTCTCGCTTGCTGAGACGTCTTCCCCTTCCAGTCCCCACCACTCACCGAGCAGTTCTGAATGTGGCCTTTAGTCTCCTCAAGCCACACAATTATTTGTGGGTAATGTTACTTCGCAAGTCTATACTCACCACTGTTGAGTGAGTTGCCAAAAGGGAACACAATGACCCAAAGTGATGACCTGGCTAGAGGCCATCTTCTCCTTAAATACTTCCTCCCCCGCCCCCAGACATGGAGCTCATGGAACAATACATTCAACTATTCCTAATTATCAAATCAGCCAATTAACTCTTGACTGCTATATAGGATTGCATGGTATGCTAGTCTTTCTCAGAATCAGAACAGATCAATTGTGCAATGACAGACATCAGTGAATAATTAAAGCTATGCAAATTTTGGCATTGTATTTAGAGAATTCATTGTTGCTGAGGTATTTCGGATCAGCCTATGGAGCAAGAAATTATATGCATGGTTTTATCAGATTTTCTTACACAGCCAAACAATAGAACAAATTGAAACAGTTGATCCCAACCCCCCCACTAGTAGGATGGCACTACTTGAAGAATATTCTCATTTTGTTTAAAAGACTGTGTCTCTTGAGGTGTCACATGGGGGGATGTGAGGTGAGGTATCCGAAATCTTATTTAGACAAGAGAGATACTGTGAGTAATGCTTAATGTGTACAGACACTAGATGAGAAGGTGTATGTCATAGGAAACAGACGAAGAGATGAGAAGAAGTGAGAAAGAAGATGAGAAAGAAACAGAATGCCTTCTGTGGTTGGATGTTCTAGAAAATTATATGATGCCTGACTTTGTAAGGTACACCTCTTGGGGGGGAAAATTATCTGGTAGATCATAATTAGAGACTGGGGTATTTTTATTTGTATACATTCACCGGTGGCAGTGGCCCCTCTCTTCCTTTCAATCGCTCCAGGGCGCTGCTCGGCTAGCCACCTGGCAGCCTTGCAGGTCTTTCAATCGCTCCAGGGCGCTGCTCGGCTGGCCACTTGGCAGCCTTGCAGGTATCCTCCTTCCCTCTGCCAGGAGTGGCTAGCTGAGCAGGAGGAGAACGGTGCTCGGGAGTGATTGGAAGGATGAGCGAAGGATATACGAATACCCCTATCTCTGGTCATAATTCTTGCTAATTCAGCACACAGCTGGCTGGATAGCTCAATGGTATAGATTGTATACGAATACCCCTATCTCTGGTCATAATTCTTGCTAATTCAGCACACAGCTAGCTGGATAGCTCAGTGGTACATGATTGCAGAGGAATGTGCTGTGCCTTCGGAGACAAGAGTCAATCTCTGTGACCTTGGGCAAAGGGCACAGTCCCAGAACACCCCACAGGAGAAGGGAATGGTAACCCACTTCTGAGTACTTTATACCTAGGAAGCCCTGGAAATGCTCACCATCCATCCAAATTAACTTGATGGTACATGGTAATCAATTAATTATGAATCCAGTATATGCATGTGCAGGCAATGCCTGCCTCCCTATCCCTCTGGTGCATCTGCCCTGTCTCCCAATGTTTATGTGTAAGTTATAGAGATGTCACAATTACTAGAACAATTTCTTGCCCTGTCAAGACCTTCCCCTACATCACAAGAGATTTTCAGTCATCCTGTAAAAATGAGGCCTTAGTCTTATTCCCCACACACACCATGCTGGTTTTTTTTTGTTTTGCCCTGTCAAGACCTTCCCCTACATCACCAGAGATTTTCAGTCATCCTGTAAAAAATGAGGCCTTAGTCTTATTTCCCACACACACCATGCTGGGTTTTTTTGTTTTGTTTTTTCCCACTTTTCCACAGTTTACTGCCAAATTCTGCACAGTTTAATGCCCTTTCTGGTGAATCCCTTCCAGGAAATATACCATTCTGTCACAAACTGTAATAATCCTACACAGCTTGGCAATTCTCTGCCAAAAATAAACATTTAAAAAAATCACTATGTCTGGTGGTATTGAGTTACATCATTTAACTATGCAATGATTTTTTTTTCAAATTCCATCTTTTATCTGTGTGGAATCTCTTGTCATCCAGTTTCAGTGGATGCATCTGGTATTTAGTAGTATGCAAGAGGGAGAAAATCATCTCCCTGTCCTCTTTCCCCATGCCATGATTAGTTTTATATCCCTCTGACGTGCCTCCCTTTCCTCACCTTTTCTGTAGGCTGAAATTGCCCCCAATACTTTTCTCACAGAGAGCTGCTGTGGTCACTTGGTCATTCTGGTTGCCATTTCCTCTTTTGCACAGAATGGGCAAGGTTGTGTTGGTCCTCAGCTTGCTATAGTTTCTTCTCATAGTGGGAGAACATGGCATCTTGTTCTAGGAATCTGACTTTTTGCTTATTGTTATCTGATGTTTTACTGTGCTGTCGCATATGTCATCAGTTTGTCCAAAGTCTTTTAATCAGAATCATGCTTTATCTCTTTCTATATAAAGATGTTTGGGTCTCACTTATGGTTAGCCAGCTTACTTCTGGAACATCATCCCTGTTTTATTGTTTCCACACTACCCAGGCATCTGAAATTGGGTGCACGTGTAATCCAAGACACCTTGATCATTAGAGAAACTCTGAAAATATATTGTGGTGCCTCGCTAAACGATGATAATCCGTTCCACTGAAATTGCTGTTTAGCGAAATCATTGTCTAGCGAAAAGCATTTTCCCCATTGGAATTCATTAAAACCTGTTTAATGTGTTCCAATGGGGAAGAATCGTCGTTGTCTAACGAAGATCGGCTATAGGAAAGCCAATTTGCGAACCGCCAATCAGCTGTTTAAATCGCTGTCTTGCGAAGCTTAGGTCCCGAAAACACCTGTTTGCGAGCGCAGAGCGAGCTGTCAAAATCGTTGTCTAGCGAAAATCGGTTTGCGAAGCAGGGACCAAACAGCGAAATTCCCCCATAGGAATCACTGTTTTGCGAATCGCTATAGCGATCGCAAAAAGCCAATATTTGGCGAAAAAACTGTCATGCGGGGTAACTGTTTAGCGAGGCACTGCTGTACAGTCATGCAAATGTGAAATGGATTCAGAATGATTTGGCAATTCTTGAACTAGTCTGAAGGCTGAAGTTTGGCACATGGAGCTGAAGAAAGCTTGATTACAGAAGAACCTTTTGAAGGAACACTTTCTGACAAATAGACAAAACTCAGGGCATGGAGTTTACTCCTATGGTGTGCTGCTTTGTAGCACAGAACAAATAGGGCTTCGTGGAAGACAGATGATCACTATCTCTAATCAGGAAGTGCTGACACAGTGCATAAGTGTGAATCCATACATAAGCAAAACAAAACCCCTGAGAAATAAAAGAAAGTATTTTCATGCTGAGGAGAGCTGAACCATTGCAAAAAATGGTTAAGGGAGAAAACCATCAAGCGGACTTTAAAAAAACCCACACACATACAAGCAAACAAGGCTTGAACATGCCCACCAGCCACAGATAGCTGAATGTTGTGGGATGAAAAACTGAGGAAATAGGGGAAGGAATGAAACAGAATTTCCAGTAAAATGGTATAGCTGGCTGGCCAGCTGGAACACTGAAGAGAAGCACGCCATGTTGTTGCAGGACCCACGTCTAATGATCAGTCATCAGTGTACTAATAAAGGAGCAAAACTTACACTTCCCCCGAAAGGTCTTTTTGCAAAGCCAAGGACATCTGCAGCTTTCGAGGGGGGGGGGATATAACTACTGGGGAACACAGTAGGGGCTGAGATTATTCATAAAGTTATCTCTGGAGGGAAAAACCCACAAATGTTGCATTCATATTTCTGCATGAAAATGATGTGGAAAACCAACTGAGGCATTCAAATAATAAGCAAGGAAGAGAGATGTGTAGTAAGATTCCACCGAAATAATTAGCCAAGTCTTTACTGTACCTAGTTAATTAAATCCTTTTCAGTAACTGCAATGAACTGTTTTTTGTTTTTGTTTTGCCTTGTTATAACAGGAGGAATGAAGCCATCATTCTGATTTTTATCAGTCTGTTAATAGCATTTAAATGTGAAAGGCTTCCATTTGCTTAATGAACAACCATTCAAAGCTGAATACAGGAATGGGTGTATTGTCATTTCATGTGTGTAGCAGGGGTAACAACCAGGCTTAAGCTTGAAGAGGTGACTGACTCTTGCTTTCTGCTACACAGAACCTGAAGCGTGTGGCAGAAACATGGATGGATGAGTTTGCAGAGTACGTTTACCAGAGACGGCCTGAATACCGGCACCTTTCCACCGGTGACCTCTCAGCCCAGAAGGAGCTTCGCAAACACCTTAAGTGCAAGGACTTCAAGTGGTTCATGGCTGCAGTGGCCTGGGATGTCCCTAAATATTTCCCTCCTGTGGAGCCCCCACCTGCTTCATGGGGAGAGGTGAGGAATATGCTGAAATATATACACCCCCCATCCTTACTACCTCTGGGGTGTAAGATTTCATTTCGAGCAAAGAGCCTGCTTTTATCACAAAACTTTCACAGAAGAGATCCAGTCAGGTTATTAAGGGAACTGGTAGCAGATGGAACCATTTGGGGAGGCACTGTGTTCAAATCAGGAACTCCTGTGTTATATCATTGTTCATTATTATAATCTATGTGCAGCCTGACTTTGTATATACAGGGCCATCCATTTCACTGGGCAGAGTGAGGTAGCTGCCTCCAGGGGCAGATGTCTGAAAGATGGACAGGAGGAAAGAAGTGTTGGATAGGGAGGTCTGGGTGCCAGACAGCTTGCATTGCTAATGCCCTCAGGGGCAGCCCATCACCAGTGTTTAAGTAAGAGTCACCTGCCAGGCCAATTATTTTAGGCACATTGAATTTTGAGGTGGGGTGCCATCTTGTTTTTTCCTTAGGAAGCAAAAGGATGTAACCCTTATATACATACACACAAATATAAAATGCTCTTACCTCTTTGGATCAGTGGTTTTAAAGATTGCCATATACATTGTACTGCAGTGGCATTGGCACAAAAAGCATAAAGTAGAGGTGGGAGTGGGTTGGACTACAACTTCGCAAATTCCTGGGCAGCCTGGCCACTACACATCTCTAAACCTCTACCACAAAGTGTTTTCCCAAGCAAATGGACACTTGGCTCGCTAGACAATTTCCCCATCCCATTTTGCCCATATTTACACAAAAGGAGAAATAGACTTAAAATAGATACCTATGTAGATTTTTTTAAGCATTCAGTCTTCTTTGCTTGTCTTTCTAACTTTTCTTTCTTTACAAGTACATTAGCTACAAAGCTGTCAGTTACGTAACAAGTGAGTTCCCTCCACCCAGAGCCTGAAAGGTGGAGGGCACTCACTCTGGAATTTCAGGTAGCAAGGACTCCAAATCTGCATGGGCCATCACAAAGAGCAAAGTCACTGTTTCTGTTGTACCTGGTGGGGTGCATGGGCATGTCTTTTACAATAATATGGTTTAGATGGTGAGCATAGAATCACTTCATGCATGTACGTCCCATTGGATTATTCCAAAAATTATAATATTGAACTAAGAGAGAGGAAATATCTATCTGCCCTCTTCCCAAAGAGCTTCGGTATCTGTGTCAATTATGAGTCTGCTTCTTACTCAGGGTGACTCCTTTTCAGTGTCTCCTCTGTTGGTTTCTGTAGAAATGTGGAGCATGATGGAATGTTCAGGACTTAACCTCCATCACCACGGTGCTATTTTGTGGGGTATTAGCAATCATGGAAACAGCTTTCTGATTATGGGCTTTATCTCCCTCCACCTGCCCCATCACTTAGGCTGAAACATGTTGGCATGGGTCTAATGGCTATAAGATGTGCATCTGAATTTCCTCTCAGGACAAAACTAGATTTAAGATATAAATGCATTTTTGCATATGATATGCATATTTTAAACAATGCAAATGCAAACAGTATTTTTTTTAAAAATGCAAACACAAAAGTGGGGAGTGGAACTTTCATTATTGTAATTAAAGCAAGCAGAGTGAGGGTGTCCAACCTTTTCCTTCCCTGTTCTATCCTGAGAAAACTCAATAATTATCACCTGTCACACCATAGAAATGATTATTTGCATTTTTCACATTTTTGGCACCATCCTAATTTTGTCTCATCATTCGTCATACAAATGACATCTCTGTTATGTCATGGTGGCATCAAGTAATAGATGGATGGGAAGATCTTTCTCTCCCCCCCCACACACACACCCTGGTTCCCCTGGTGCTAGTGGACTAATACTCCCATTGTGCCCCTCAATTGACTATGGTGCTTAAGGCATGTGAGAGTTTATATTAACAATCCCTGGTGGGTCACAGGTTCTCCAGTCTTGCATTAATGCATGTGCTGCATTTGCACCTTTGTTTATTTATCTTTGGATATTTTGTGTTTATATGGCCCAGAGGGCAGCCGTGTTAGTCTGTTGTAGACAAAAGAGCCAAGACACACGTGGCAGCTGAAAGATTAGTCCATTTTATTTGGCTTTAAACTTTTGTGGATTAAAGTCCAGTTCATCAGATGCATGTATTGATGCTTATTTATGTTGGTGCTTAGCCTCATGCTGATGCTAAGCTTCATCTTCTAAGTATGTTTGGTTTTGCTCAACCACTGAGTTCTAAAATGTAAGGTTAACCATTTTACTGGAGTTAAATGTGCCAACACTGCAATAGAGTAACTACTGACCTTGGTCGAAGACTATCTGGGAATCAGATTTGCCCTGAAAGTGCAGCACAGCATGTGCTTCGTGGGTCCTTTGAGATACATCCTGAGAGTTTCCATTTGGTGCCATTTCACATGGCTGAAGATATCAGGAAGTGTGCCAGGACAAAGGAAGTATCTTTCCCACTGGAGATAGTTCCACTGAAGAAAGGATAAAGCCAGCAAAATAGGTCCATGGCCTGTATTAGTCTCTCCCTGCTGTGTTGACTTAAACTTAAACAATGTAACATACAAAAAAAGGGACAGAGGCAACCATACTAATTTCTCTCAGTCAGCAATACTCTGACCCAAACTGATTCACTAAGTGTTGTTCTTTTATTTGCTTTTTAGTTAGACTATTTTAGTGCAATCCATGTAAAGATGTCCTTGAAAAATGCTTAGAAGTTACAGCTGGTGCAAAATGCCGTGGCCAGACTGTTCTCTGGCACTTGTACGGATCATTGGCCTTGAATGAACCATGCTGGCTTCCTGTTTGCTTCCAGGCTCAATTCATAGAGATGATTCTGATCTACAAATTCCTAAACAGTTTAGAGTTAGGATGCCATATGGAAAGACTGCCTTTTTCCCTATGAAGCTGTCCAGAATGTGAGGGCTTCACTGGAGACCCCGCTGCATTTCCTACCATCCCAATAGTCACAAGACAGGACTTTCACTGTAGGAGCACCTCATGGATGGAGCCACGTCCGTAGGAAATCAGGCTGGATCCATCCATGTTGAGCTCCTGATGAGCATCCAGTAGGGCAGTCCCTGAGGCTCAGGACTGCAACTTGAGACCAGAGGCACGTTTGTGCAATGTCACAGGGATGGGGCCAATAAGAGATGGAGCACAGGAAGAACTGTTCTAGGTTGTCTGGATGTGGAAACAGGTGCAAAGTAAATCTAGGTAAATGAGACTAGTTAATATGGCAATCAAAAGCTGGGGACATTCTTTTTGATAGGAGGAAGTGGCCATAAAATGTGCACAGCAGTGGCTCATCTGTGCAGTTCCCACTAGGGCCACTTGCATATGCATGCATACACATGCACAAACACGCACAGAGAGGGAGGGAGAGAGAGAAAGAGAGAAACAAAGAGAGAGAGAGAGACTTACTTATGGCGGAAGTGGCCATAAAATGTGCACAGCAGTGTACAACTGTGCAGTTCCCACTATGGCCACGTGAATATGCATGTATGCACATGCACAAACACGCACAGAGAGAGAGAGAGAGGAGAGAGAGAGCGACTTACTTATGGAATGCATGATACTTTGGGAGTTTTTCCGAGCTCTACCCTACTGCAGCAGCTGTGGAAAGCACACTACCAGTCCACCACAGAGAAGTTTCGCCAAGCTCTATAATGCTGGGAATCATGAGACTCCACACTGTCATTGCATTCTCCGCCTGCCTCTTTTAAAACTTTATTGTGTGACACTTTGGGAGCCCTAGCTGGGCAAGAAGCAAAGGGTGTTCATCCTATGTATTTCACCTGGCTAAGGATGGTTCTGCTGTGAGAGGACTGGGGCTTGAGCAACAAAGAGAAACCATTTCTGTGGGTTTTACATTTTTGTTGTTGGTGAGAGGACTGGGGCTTGAGCAACAAAGAGAAACCATTTCTGTGGGTTTTAAATTTTTGTTGTTGCTTGTATGTTGTATGCACGCGCACGCACACACACACACAGAGAGAGAGAGGTTAATGATTGTGCACGCGCACGCACACACACACACAGAGAGAGAGAGAGAGAGAGAGGTTAATGACTGTAACTTTCAATAACAAGAGATGGCACTATAATGAGAAACTGGGGACATAGTGAAAATATTCAGCCATATTCCCTCCAAACCTTCTCAGTTTCTGGCCTCATCAGGGTATGTCTCTTGCTCAATGTCTTTTCTATTACCATTTAGAAAAAAAGAGTCCATTAGGCTGGCTGTGCCAGTTTGAATCTGTAAAGTAGTTTGATATGTGAGTTGTAAATCTATCAACTGTCTATGAAATTCTGCTTTCTTCATGCAAAGCTCTCTGTTGAACAAATGAGAGATTGATTGGCAGTACATGTTCTTGCAAAGGCTAAAGTGACTTTTTAAAATAGCCAAATTTACCCTTGAGGCAATCTGCTATTTTGGATTTCTTTTCGCCTCAAACCATGCATTGCTGGAAGGGTACATGATCCATCTGGTATTCTGTTTTGCCTTTTTTGTCACTTGAAGTCAATGTGGTATGGCAAGTGAATCTCGGAAAGATGTGCTGTGAAAGAAACTCTCAGTCCTTAATGGATTCATTGCCATCTTTTTTACATATGTCAGCCTTATAACTTGGGATGTGCTTTTGCTGTGATTCTTGTCACAGAATTCAGATTTGTTCAAATGTCTGCATTTATGCAAAAGAGCAATGGGACATTTTACTCCAGCATGATCACAGCTGCCCACATATGGAATGACTGCCATAGTGATAGAGCTCCATGATAGAGCTCACAAAGCTGTGATACAATGTGGCCAAGTCTATGCCACCTGGGACAATGGGCAGATCAGTTGTCCTTCAGTTTTTGCAACATTTTGTGGGGCAGCTGTTTGCTGAAATCTGTGCAAGAGTTAAAATGCAAGCCCTACGTAGGTGGTGGTTGTTATGATCCCAGTTTTCATGCCAGTTCCACATTTTTAATGTCACAATCTCATTTGACCAGCTTGTCACATCCATGCGGTCTAATGGCAATACAGTGGGG